TCTTAGAAATGAGAAAAGAAAAATAATAAGGTGCATTAGTGAGAAAACAATTGCTAAGGTGGGAGCTGCAACAACACGGGAATGCCCTAGAGACAAATATCAAATGCAATACAGAAACTACAGGACCAGAATGTAAGCTTTAAAATACAATTTATCTTTTGAAATAGTACAGGGGTTTCAGAGGCCAAGCCTGCTTTCAGATATGTTTTTGATCTGACAGCTTTTTAACATTTGACTAAATATGAAAGTGGCACAGTAAAAAATAATAGAGTGTTTAATGGTGTAGCATAATAAAGTATTTGTGCACATGAGGAAAATGCTTTAATAAAACAGGTTTTTTCTTCACTGGGAAAAAAACAGATTGCTTTCACTGCTCAACTCTATTCTTTCTCTCCAACTTTCAATAACTGTTTTCTTCAATTAGCTTCTATCCTTGTCTACTTTTTAAATTCAAGGCATTCAAGTTATATTTTTCACGTTAATGGTTCATTTTGTCTGACAACACAAATTCTGCAGCGTGCAATCCAGGGATTGAAACTAAAGGTACAAGTATTAGCAGCAAAATCACCTGGTCCAGAATGTAGTTGATGGGAAAGAATTACTTTTAAAGTATTAATTTTGCTTGTAAAATGAATGGGAGAGATATTTGCACAAATCCACTGTAGGAGGCTTCATGGATCTTACTGCATTGTCTGACAAGTTACAGAGTTATTCCAGGCACGGTGCAGTAATGATTAGAATAGATTAGAGATAAAATTCACCACTCCAATCTACGGAGCAGTGGGGAATTCATTACTCTGATCCTACTAAACATGTAGATTTCTCACTAAAAGTCAATGAGACTGTAATAGGGCTCCTTTAGTACCCAGTATAAGGAAGAGGAAGGGCCCTTTAAGAAGAATATGCCTTGGAAGGATATAAGGGAAGGTGTCCAGCAGTTGAGAACAGAGCTCCTGGGAGACAGTAACATAGGAAAGTAGTCAGAAGGACTTTGCAACTGTAAGGGACTTTGCAGCAGGGGATCCCAAGGGTTCACAGTTGTGAGAGGTGCTACAGCCTACCAGTCAGGCCTTTTGCCCCCAAGGACCTGACACTGACAGAAAAACAAGGTGTAGCAAGTGTGTAAAGTGGGGAATCTGTGAGTGAGAGGGTGGACCTGCTTGCTATGGGGACCCCAAGGCCTGCAGTGCTTCTGGAGAAGGGAGAAGTGGAGTGCAGTCACAGGGAGCATGAAAAGAGCAGAGAAACATAACTGAGGCCCACAACAGGTCACAGCATTTTTGGCACATCTATCAATTCTAACATTGTGCGGCACCCCGCAGCACCCTTAAAATGATCTTGCAGCACCCAAGGGCTCTATAGCACTCTGGTTGTGAATCAGTGGCATAGCATCTCCAAACAAGATCACTGCCCGTTCTACAAGGCACAAGACAAACACATACCACGAGACAGTCCTAGCACAGAAAAAGCCTCCACACTACCAGTTAATAGAACAAAAGGCTGAGAAGAGAAACAGGAAGATATGTAAAGTAACTTGCTGAATCTAAATCAGATGCAGCCAGTCAGCAGTAGAGTCAGGAACTGGGTGTCCTGCATACCAGTCTGAAATCCTTTCTATTAAATCAATCTTCTCCAACAGTAATCATTTTACCAAAGATTATAAATCACTGATAAGACAATGCATTACATTTATTAGTAACTGAGTAGGACCCTGATCCAAAAAATATGACTACTTTAGTTTGTAATTAAGCCTGTTCTTAAAGTGCTTTTCTGGACTGTGACTTGGGTGATAGGTTCATCCATTCATCAGATTTTATTTGTATTTGAACTGTAGAATATTCTCTTTCTCAATTTTGACTATGTCTAGAATCATAGGAATTGCTTTTCAGACCGAACTAGTCTCCCATAAAAATGCTACCTATGCATTTCTGCTTCCTATGCATGGAAAACTTTTGCCAAGTCCATTAACAAATCCACTCCTCTTAACACCTTCAGCTTTCTTGTTAAGACCGACTTCTATCATGATACCCATGGAAAGCTGCCTAATTATAATGTCTAAGCAGGTGGCCAGTTAGTGTTTCATTAAAATCTATTAAAAAAAGCAAAACACCATGAAGCATCCCCTTGGTGCACACTGCCAGTCTACAGATTTCTCAATTTAAAAAAAGTTAAAATAAATAAGAAAGAAACTTTTCCCTTAACCTTCTGCCAATATTTGTGATTTTACAATTATATTGTCCTATCCTATGTTATTATTATTACCGTTATTTTCTGCTATGTGAAATGTGTTTGGGAACAGTTGAAAGAACTAACTCATCACATTTAAAAGAAAAACAGTGAATCTGATTACAAAGTACTGCCAGTGACACAAAATAACCAAACTGTGAAAAAAGAAAGATTTTATTTTCTCCAATTTCTGTTAGTATGATGTTAGTTTTAATAACAGCAGGTAAAAAATTGAGGCAGAAGTGTAGTTGCAGAATTGACAGCATCCTTTTAACTGAAGATTACTAAATAATTTATGTTGTTGTTCTCTGAAATGAAAATAGCAACTATGATAAGAAAGCCCTTTGTCAGTTCCAGACTTGTCTTCTCAATATGCTGCACTCCTACTTATCATAAAGACTGCAGAAAAGCTGCAGTTGCTTTGTGAGTTTGCTGCTTAATACCTAATAGAGCTAAACTCAAAGAGCACTGGCTTCCCACACTGGCTTCAGTTCAGATTCAATTTAACATGATGGTGCTGATCCTGCCTGGATCAAATTCTCTCATTTTCATACCCTCCCTCTCCCCTGCTTCCTAACTACTGTAATTATTGACGACTCTGCTTATTAGCTGATGGTTCCCAGGATGAGATCTGCAGGATTAAAGGGCTGAGTATTCTTGATAGGGAATACTGCCTATCCTGGCCATACTTTGGAGGGAAGTATACATTTCGAGAAAAAGAAGCATTTATTTGGTTAGGGTTGTTGTTCTTTTTAAATGGTAGAATATGAAATTGGTCACTGGTCTAGGTTGTCAGATAACAACAACAGGTGAGAAGCTACACCCTGCATGCAATACCTTGCTTGGGTGTACAATTTATTATCTGACTGTCACTAGTACAGTAAAACTTAAGATACTTTGTAAGGTTAGGTTCCTAATCCCCCCAGAAGGATGAGGGCCTGTAACTTATCTGGGGATATGCAGAACCATGGTAAACATCTTCAGAGCAGCTTGAAGTGCTCCAGATGTTTGCTGCAGCTTTTATTTCAAAAGGCATTGTGGTTCCAATCAGTTATCCATGATGGAGACAGGTTTCCTACTACCTCTGCAGTCAAAGCTGTGTGTCCCTGATTATCCTTCAGCCAGCAGGAAGACCACCCTTTGAGCTGCCTACCATCTATATAGATGCCCAGTTATGTTGCTAAATAGCTGCTGTGCACTGGTGTCCACCAAGAGATTACTTGAGTGTCATATTCCTAACCTTTCTTAGTAAGAGCTGTCTCCCACTATGAGCCTGAAACAAAATCAGTGTCATTGCAAAAGAAGATGCACAAGAACTTTGATTATAAAACAAGCTTTTCTTATTGACTTGACTGAAATTAATGCATGTCATACTGAAGGGACACCTGTATGCTATTCCACCCAGTCTGCTGGCCTTGTCCATGTTTGTCTGAAGAAGCTCTGGGAGCATCAAGTACCCACCCAAATATTAGGATTGTCTGAAACCATAACTATCAAATATGCTCATTTAAACGTTGAAAATCTTGTCCTTTTCCAAGCAAGACAAAGGCCCAGTCAAAGGGGCTAAGAGAAGGCCACACAACTTCTGACACTTGTTATCCAGTCACAATTTGAAACCAGGTTGGGAAAGGTGGAATGCAAGTTAGACAAATAACTAGACCATAGGCACCAGCTTTGTTGTTTACTGGTGGGTGCTCGCCGGTGTAAAAAACAAAAAACACCACTTTACTTTTAATTCAGCACATTCCCATACCAAGCCCCACACATACCCAAAGAGGCAGCATCTTACTTCCGTCCAGTTCTGCAGCATCTGTATAGCTGTAGTGGGGCCTTTTTGGGACATTTATCTAACATCTGATTGACTGAGCTTTAGCTAAAAGCCCCAAAATGCCCAGCTGAAGCTCTGGATCTTTACAGACACTGCAGAGTCAAGCTGAGGTAATGCACTGCTTCTTCTGATGAAGTGTGTTTTTCCAGCTTGTTTTTTTAACATCCACAAGAGTGGCTCTGGTGGTGCTGAGTACCCACTATTTTTTTTTGGTGGAGCATCCATAGCGTTGATACCTATGAACTGGGTCTATTTCAATGGAAGGGTGAGAAAAAAATCCACCCCTCCCTGAGGATAGAAAGCACGTTCGGCTACATGAGCAACGGCACGTGGTCAGATCGGCTCCTCACCAAGGGATGTAGGGAAGGTTCTGTGCTGGGCCCTTGCACTGATTTGGGGTGCACTGTCACCCCTAGGATAGGAGTGGTGGATGCCCAGGCAGCTCCTGCTCTGTATGGCATTACTGGGTGTAACCGGGAAAGGGCAGAGCAAAGTTTGGCACCACTTCAGCCCTCAGTGGGGATGCCCGCTTGGTCCTCACTACGCCTTACAGCTATTATGCAATTAACAGTATTATTCACAATGATTGTGATGGGTGCAGTAAACCTATACTGCAGTAAGCCACCATCAGGCTATAGAAAAGACTGCCCAGCTCCAAAAAAAGAGCCGACCAGCTATAGTTAGTGCTTGAACACGTGCAACCACTGCGCGCCTGGTTCCAGCTCAGCGCCGCGGGAACGGACAAGGGCAGGGTGCGCCCCGCCCCCCGCGCGATTGGCTGTCAGAGGGTGCGCATTGTAACGCAAAAGCCGCAACCCAGGCGGAGCGGTGACGGAGAGAGCGCGCTTCGACTCCTCCCCATAGCGCATGCGCGCCAGCGGGCAGGCCCCGCTCCGCCTCAAGCCCCGCCCTTTCGCCGAGCCCGCGCTGTTGCGCACGCGGGAGGACGCCGGGGGCCGGGTTCTCTTTCCGGGCGAGCCGGGGCTTCGTTTCCGGGTGAGGCCGGCCCCGCGCCGCCGCCATGAAGATCACGAGGCAGAAACACGCCAAGAAGCACATGAGTTTCTACAAGTACAACTTCCAGGTCCGGGAGCCCTTCCAGTTGCTGCTGGACGGTACCTTCTGCCAGGCCGCGCTGCGCAACAAGATCCAGATCCGCGAGCAGCTGCCCGGCTACCTGGGGGGCGCCGCGCAGCTCTGCACCACGCGGTGAGCGCGGGGCGGGGCGCTTCCGGGGTAGGGGCCGAGGGAAGCTCCACCCCCACTAACGTCATCCCCGCCCTGCCTGCAGGGGGCGATGCGGCCTGCCCCACGTGTGCTCTGGAGTCGATGTCCCAACTCGCACACCCCGATCCTGCTGGTGCCTCTCCCCACCGGCCCTGGCGCAGCCTTGGCACCCGGCCACATTCCCCCGCCGCCCTCCCACCCCAGCAGTCCCCAAGCCCTGGCCCTCCAACCTCCACTCCCCACACAGGTACCTTCATCCAGTTGCCAGAGCTGCTCCCACGACTCTGCCTGCTGGCTGCCCCAGTCAGCCCCTCGCAGGCTGAGATGCTGTCGGCCTGCACAGAGAAACTTGCGCTTTTCTGGCACTTGCTCACGACCCTTTCGGATATTCTTGTGACCCACTTTTGGGGCACGACCCACAGGTTGAGAAACGCTGATGTGGAGGGTCAGGCAGAGAGCAAGGTCGGGATGTTTGCTGGATCTGGGATCTGAGGAGTCCATCAGTCAGTAGCAGCACAAGCCAAGGGTGCAGCAGCCTAGGTACAAGGTTGAGGGTTGTTACTTGGCTATTTCTTCCAGGTCAGGGATGTAGGTAGGAAAGGGTAGCCAGTGAGGGGTCTGCTGAGTGGGCAGGTGGCTGAGCCTAGCTGGGGGGTTCTGGCCCCCTGTGTCCACCTCAGTGCTCTGCTAAGGAGGTGGCAGACTGGGTTGAGGGGCTGTGCCATGCAGGCTGAAGCCCCACGTTCAAGGTCACAGCCTGACAGTGGTGTGCCATCCTGCAATAAATAGCTGAAGCTCTTAAGACCGAATCTACTCCAAAGGTCCTTTCTTTCTAAGCGTGTTATGATGGTTCAGGCTGGTGACTACCCGATTTTCACAGTTTCTTAGGGTGAAATGCTTAGTCATGTTTTTCATATTTTGGGCCTGACTTCTGGCCCTCCTCATTCATGGCAACAGCAAATGGAAAGTACTGATAATGACTGGCTGGTGTGCAGAGACACTGCTGCTGTCAGGAGCCATCTAGGTAAATAGCTGTAGTGCCATGAGGCACTTAGTGCTCTGCCAAACAACCAGCACAGATCTGCAGAAAGTGTAGAAGGGTGGATCCATTTGTACTGCAGTCAAATGTATGGTGGGCCTGGTTACAGCAGCACCCCCCTGATGTTGAAAGCACAGCTGAAATCTGACTAGGCTTCCCAGATGTTCTAAATCAGGGGTGTTAAACATGCAGTGCCCAGTTTGGCCTGCCCATCACAGGCAGTGCACACTTTGTGCAGCACCCCACTGACCAGCCCTGCAAGGTGGCTCTGGGTTTGGTATAGTGCTGCATGGAGTGCATGTCCTGTGCTAGCCCTCTGTACTGCATGCAGCACACACGGTGAGTCAAGCCTCACGCAGCATGTGCCAGCCTTGGAGCTCGGTGCATGTGTAGGGCCTGAACTGGCACTGCACTCAGCACAGGGGGTCCAGGCTGCAGGGGCCAGCCCACGTACCATGTGCTGTACACGGAGCTGGGTCAGCATGTGGGGTCAAGCCAGAGCCCTGCGGTCCAGATCAAACAGCTCCATAGGCTGGATCTGACCCACAGGCTGTATGTTTGACACTCCTGTTCTAAATTTTGAGTTCATAAGCTTGCTCCTTTTGAGTCCTTGAGGAAAATAGTGGTATCTTGCTTTGAAAAATAGAACTCTGAATTGTAGCAGAGGATTCATGTTGTAAACATATTTCCCCGTCATGTTCAATCTTGGTCTTCCTGATTATTTTATAGGTGCTTCCAAAGCAGAGTCTCTTGAAATTTGTCCAGCCGAGAGACAAATATTACTATGATATTATAAAGAGCTCAAGCTCCATTGCTTTTACTTCTGTGCAAGATGTGGAGCTGAGGTGGAAGTGCAGGAACTTGGGTGATTTAAAAAAACAAATAGAGCTGCTTTGTAGAAGAAGAAAATATTGCACAAAGGGGGGCTCCGTTTCGATTGTTGTTGCCTTTCCTTTCTTTCAATCTTTGCTTTCAATCTTGAGCAGCTGCTTCAAAAAATAATCCTTTACTTTGAGAGCAGATTGAACTGCAGACACAAAAAACTAATACCAATTCTGATGCATGTATGTGCTAACCTTTACACTTGCTTCACAGAAAAAAAATAGCAATGGGCACATCTACATGAGAAGTTTACTGCAGAGCTGCCTAATTAGCTCCACAGTAAACATCACACATCTACACATGTGGCCCTGGTAGGCCACAGGAAACTAATTAACTCTGTGGCAGGATAGTACTTGTAGATGAAAATACTATCCTACTGCAGAATTATTTACTGCACAGTAAAGCATGTGTAAATGCTGACTCTGGCATAAATTGCACCTGGTCAGCCCCACCAGCAGGGAGCCACATTACTGCCTAGCCACATGGGTCAGCAGCTACAAGAGTCTCGTGGCTCAGCCAGCTTCTTCACCACCCAACACAGCCGTCTGTTGCCCAAGCCTTCTCGCCCTGGGCCCTGCCAGCCTGGGGCTGCCCCCAGATTCCAGGCCACACTGCCACTGTCAGCTGGAGCCTGGGGCTGATCCTTGTACCCTCTGCCAGCCTGGGACTGGCACCTGGGCAGCTATGGGTGGAGCCTGGATCTCCCTCTGGCTGCTGCAGGGGGGGCAGAGCATGGCAGGAGCAGCCCTGGCCTCCACTGTTCCTCCCTGGCTCAGTTTGCTGCTGTCCCAGGCATATGTGTAGATGCTGCACCTGGGTGTGGTTTACTGCAGCACAAATTGCTCCGCAGTTTATTCAGTCACGTTAATTGCATGTGTAGATACGCCCAGTGAGAAGTCAAGTAGTGCAGGCCTGCCTCAGTCTTAGTAACATACCATGTGCGTCTACACATGCACTTGATCCAGGATCAGTTTACTCATGAGTAAATGCTTCCAAGCAAGCATCTACACGTGCAGGGAAGTGGGAACAGATTTGCTGCTAATGGCAACAAACTGCTTCCACTTCCTGGGGCCCTGCAGTGGGCCTCTGCTTCCACTAGGGGGAGCTCTGGGCTCCCCATGGGTGATAGTCCAGGGGCTGGCAGGGAGTACTGGGCCAGGAGACAGCTCTCTCTTAGCCAGTGGCTGGGACATTACACATTGCCCCAGGGGGCTGCTTGCTGCCAGGGTGGAGACCATGTCCCCCCTGCCACATCAGTAGGAAGCTCCTGGCACTGGCTCCCTCGATCAGAGCCTGGGGACTTGGGAAGAGCTGCAAAGGAGAGGCAGGTTTTAGCCCTCTGCCCCATCTGCTGGTAGGGCTTGCTGCTGGCTGTCCCACTGGCAGATCAGGGCAGGGGGCTGGGACCTATTCCACCCCTGCAGCTCTTTCCAAGGCCTGTGCCTTGATCAGGGCTTGGGGCTGGAACCTGCCCTTGACCAGGACAGTTCCCAGCCTGTGCTCCACATATGGGACCGAAGCGGGAGAACCTGTTCCCCACTCAGCGACATGAGTGCGGAACAGGCTGGGAGCTTGTTCCCCACTCAGTTCTGCAAGTACATAGATGGGCGGGGAATAGGCTCCCCAGCCCCTGCCAGCAGGCAGCTTCCAGCACCAGCTCTGCGGTTGCGGGGCCAGCACTGGGAGACCCTGATCTCCCAGCTATCCCATCGCAATGGCAGAGTGGGGGCTTGGAGCTCCCTGCTGCTGGGACAAGGGGACATAATCCCCACCCAGGCTTCGGTTGTGGAACCTGCCTCAGAGAGAAATCTCCTGCCCCCGGTGGATGGCTGGCCAGAGCGGACTTGCTTCCGGTCAGGCATCTACACGAGTGCTACTGCACTGTTACTAATCTAAAGTAAATTTGCTACTTGCATTTGCAGGTAGCAGATTTACTTGCAATTAGCAAGGTTTACTGTGTAGTAAGCATATGCACATGTAGATGCACATGCTTACTGCTCAGTAAACTACACTACTGTGCAGTTAAGCGTCTTGTTTAGATGCACCCACTGGGTAGAAGGATTAGTCTTGAATATTTCATGCCTTCATCTGGATGTTTTTCATCATTCTTGGACAAACACTTCCTAATAAGTGATTTGATGTACATTTTTGATAGATTCTTTCATCTAGTCTCACAAGTCTATAACATTGAAATCTACTGATTCTTCAGCATGGGTATCGCTTCTTTTATTAATCATATCCTCTGGGAAGATATTGCTCTTCATTTTTTTTTTTTTTGACAAAAATATTTCTGTATGTTACGTACTGCTTCCTGTTTTGTAAATTAATATATTTTTATTAACCTTTTTTCCAATGTTGTTGCCTAATTTCTAAATCATTCCATCACATGACACAGTTGCAATCCTTTTTAATCTTCTGGTTAGGTAGTGAATTTTTAGGGTGCAAGATAGAACAAAAGGACTTGCACTTCCCTAATGGTATAATTGAGTGGGTCGTCACTGGAACATTAGTTTAAGAATGATTCGGGTGCCATTTTTCTTCAAAGAGGTTGGTTAATCTCTTCATGTATATCCATGTCAATATGTGTGGTGTCTGAATGGGAAGACTCTAAACCTGTCCTAAATCCTGCTGGGTTATCCTGTTTTACAATGCCATGAAATTTGTTCACCAAAAGACCCCTTTAGTATGTAAATCTCTGAGAACTTTTCTGTTTAGCACCTGCTATTTTAAATTTCACAGGCACTGTTGGGTACAACACTCTGAGACAGAACCACTAAAATGCAAACGAATTGCACATCAGTGTTGTAGTTCCTGCTGTGTTTTTTCTTTCACATAATTCAAATATGGAATCTCAGCATGTTAGTAGTCACATATATTCAGTCCTAAATTAACACTACATACAGGTATTATTATGCATTTACACCAGTTGCTTTATTCGTGGGGGAGGTTTATTTGATTGTGTAATTTTTTTAAAACTAATCTGTGCGCTAGGTGAAGTCTATGAACTTTAGGAGTGGCATGGGGTTAGATCAAATGATCCTGGAGGTGCCTACCAACCCTATGATTTTATATAGAAAGCCTGTTACTCAAACAGGTTACAGCAGGGGTGGGCAGTTATTTTGGGCAGAGGGCCGCTTACTGAGTTTTGGCAAGCCATCAAGGGCCACATTACAGGCAGCCCCAGGGCAGATAAATACTACTTTTCTAAATTTTTTAAGGCCCCTGCAGGCCAGATAGAATGGCCTGGTGGGCCACATCCAGCCCCCAGGCCACATTTTGCCCACCCCTGGGTTACAGTGAAGAAGTTGGATTTTCTTCATAATAGCTGTAATTACATTTGCAAAGGTTTTTTTCACTTAATTACAAGTCTTACTGAAGTAGTCTCAAAGATTTGGGATTGCCATTGAATTGACCCAGGTTACTTAATATTTCAAATGTTATTAGCCTTGTTTAGAAATTTTGTTGAAATGCTAAGAAAAGCTGTACTTTAACTCATATTTTTGTGCCCTGTAAAATGGACATAGTCTAGCCAGGCAGTGTTTATCTCTAATTAAACATGGTTAAAAATTCAATATTTGAAACCTTTGCAGTTGTATAGAGAGTTTATTTTAATATGAGGAATAAAATTAGGGATTTTTCCCTTTATAAATTTGTCTTATTTTTGCTATTTTTAGATGCGTTCTAAAAGAATTAGAATCACTGGGGAAGGAACTATATGGAGCAAAATTAATTGCCCAACGATTTCAGGTTCGACACTGTTCTCACTTCAAAGATCCAGTAAGTGGTTCGGCATGTCTTCTATCCATGATTCAGGATGGCAATCCACATCACTATTTTATTGCTACACAGGTAAATACTCCTAGGAAACATAACTTAATTTTATTTTAAAATGGTTGGGTTTTTTTATTCCTAATGAACACAAGATTTGAATGACTTGTTGGAATTAAATGTATAAGATCTGCATGTCTACAACATGTGACGACTGTCAGATTACAAAGTGGGGAAATTTCAGTTTGAAACAGAATTACAGCCTTAAAAGTATCACTGAATATGATTTCCTGCATGATGAACGGGAACAAAAATATTGTAAGTGCCTTCACTCTGAACATTCATCACAAGCTGCTTGTATTTGTTTACCATGCTGCAATTTCAATTAAAATGCTACACTGGAAATTTAGAATAAACTTTTTAGTTAAACTTTTCAATCAGAAAGTGAATTCAGGGTTACTGCAATTTTTTTTTTTGTACAGACTTCAATCTCTTGAATATTTTGCACTGCATAAAAAGTGTTTCACTATAATTTTTATGGGCATCTTCCATGATGACATTTGACACTTTCATAGATTTAGTTTATTTCCCTCTCCTCTCCTTCCCCACATGTACAAAAAGAGGAAGTATATATTTCATTTGCCTGAGGGGTAATACAGAAGATGGGCATGCAGAAATTGGTTTATCATAGACAGGCCCCCATCTTTCAGATTTATTAGCTACTAAGTTAATAGACATCTTTTATAAAATTCAGCTCTTTGAATAATATTTGCAATTGTAGTGCAATCATTTCTAAAAGAAAAGTTAATCACAAATTGTTGACTGTGCCTTTTGATTTGACAGGATCAAGATTTGGCAAAAAAAGTGAAGAAAAAGCCTGGAGTTCCTCTGCTCTTTATTATTCAGAACACTATAGTACTTGACAAACCGTCTCCAAAATCTCTGGCATTTATTCAAGCAGTGCAAGCAAATCAGCTTGTTCCAGAGCACCAGAAACAAAGTCTTAAACAACTCAAAGAGAAAGAGGGACTAGGAAAGGAAGAAAAGGAAAAAAGAAAACGTAAGAGAGTGGGTGGTCCCAATCCCCTCAGCTGCCTGAAGAAGAAGAAAAAAGTGCAAGAGACTAAGCAGCCTCCTGCTGCAAAGAAGAAACGAAAAAGAAAACGAAGCCGGGCTAAACTGCAGCCAGTGCAACAGTGCGCAGAAGCATAAAGCTGTCCTTATAAACCGTGCAGGACTTCAGTGTTGCTTGAGTTTTTGTAAAGATTCTTTTTGCACAAAAATAATATGAAAAAAACTGTGTGTTTATACTGAACCATATTTTTATGAAAAAAGTAATACCCATCCTTGGGAAACAAACACTGTGAGGACATGTTGTTTTTTGTACCTCTTAACTTGTTCATTCATGCCATGAGAAAAAAGACAGTAATAATATGAAATCCAGTGCTCAAAGATTTTTCCCATGGTGAAGTATGAAGTCAGAGTTAAATTTCTTGTGTTTATAAGTGCAGTTGTGTGTTTCACAACAAGCTGGATCCAAGTTGACCCTTCAGGTGTCTCCAGTTGGGCATTGTCATGTCTTGAAAGGGTTAAGTCTCTAGATATTCCTACTCACTGGCCATGTCCACATGAGATGCTGACTGCACAGTAGCCTGAGACACTGCTGCTCATTAGCATCACATGGCAGAAACCACATGAAGCTACGCTACTGAGCAGTAGTCTTGGGCTATTACAGTCAGCATCACAAAGCCGTTTGTCGGCGCTGCTGCACAGTAACTTGGGTTACTGCACAGTCATTTAGTATTCGTTTATACAAGTACTAAATGACTGCGCAATAACAACTGCACAGTCAGCATCTTTTGTATATGCAGCCATTATATAGGAATCCCAGGTGCCTCCCAAACACAATCTAGTAACTGTGCCTAGATGCTGAGCAGGGAGGCATGTTGAGTGAGCCCAGGGCTGTCCAACTGGCAGCCTCTGGGCTGTATATGGCCTTGTAACAGGGAACCCTAGCCCTGTTTCTAGAAGATGGGTCCGCCCCTTTAGGGCCAGAACTTTCTGGGCGTGGAATGCTGGTAAGGAGGGAATTAAATACTGAGCCTGGCCAGCTAGTCAGCTGACTGGAAGGGGCAGGCCAGAACTATAAAAACCCTGGGGAGAGCAGCAATAAGGGCCAGGAGTGTATCCCAGAGCTCCATGAGAGGCTTCGTGAGTGGTCCAAAGGATCAAATAGTTAGAAAAATTCTTCTTTGCAAGCTTTCAGGTATAAATACCCTTTGTCAGGCTGAGGAAGCATCTGCACGTGGTGTGTGCTCTTCCTGGATGGAATGAATAGTAAAGAAACCAGAGGCTGGTCTGCATGCAAGAAAACCAGGCAGTGAAGATGGAAATTGAGGAGTCAGTGAGTGAGAGATGCATTGGTGGGGTGGGGAGGGGGCAGTGAATATAGCAGGTAAATAGTGGAGAGGTACCTGGGGAGTCAGATGTTAGGTGGGTTATAATGTGTCATAAATTCAATGTTTATAGTTAGTTTATATCTAGTCCATGATTTTTTGTACCCAGGAGGTTTAGCAAACACACCAGAATCCAGGCCTTCCTGCCCCCAGATCAATGCTGTCTGCTGCAATGTTAGAGACCATCTCTACTATCTGAAAAGGGCACAATATTGCAGCTCCAAACAGTGATGCATTCTGCCTTTGAAAGCAACTCCTGTTTGAGATGACCTTGAGCACCTGGTTTGCTCAACAAGCCAAACAGCTTGTCAGAGCATTTGCTGTTACCATTTTCATGCCAAATTAGAATGGGAAAAAGCGCTGTCTTAAGAGATTTACACCTGTCTCCAAGTAAAACAGCACAGGGCCCAAGCACGTCACCATTTAATTCAAGTCAAATTGTTTGAAAGGAGGACTGTCTAACTGGTGGCCTGTGGGCTGCATGCTGCTAGGGGTTAATCTGCAGAGCCCAGGCTTTCCCTGGCTCCTGCTTCCCTGATTGCTCTGGCTCCAGGGTCTCTAGGATCCCTCTTCTCTGGCTTTCACTTCTTGCCCCTGTCCCAGGTGATGACACAGGGCAGGGTGGAGTGGCTCAGCACAGTCTGTAGTGCCAGGGGAGCTGCAGCCAAGGAGATTGGGAGTAGGGGGTGCCAGCCTGTATGGTGCAGCAGTGCAGGGAGGAGATGCCCACTCATGTGCCAGAGGAGCTTGCAGCCAGGGAAGTGAGGGGAGGGCATGGCCCCCACAGTACGTGGTCCTTGCAGTTTACAGCCCCCAGCTGTTAAGTTGGACAGGCCTGTTTTAAAGCATTGATTGTCCAAGGCTATGATATGATGTCCCATCATGCGTATCACTATTGTAAGGGGTTTAGCAGACTTGGTCATGCCTTCAGGGTAGATAGGACCCTAACGGCAACTTTGAATAAAGATGATCATTCTGGGACACTCAATGATTTTTATAAGAACAGAAAACCAAAGCAGTAAAACAAGAACTGCAGAGGAAAGGTTCTGAAGTTCCTGTTGTCTCAAAATAAATGTATAGATCCCTTTTTTCAGCAGGTACCTTGATAAATATTAAAGAACAAAAATGAGTGGCCATACTTTTAGGCTATCATACGTTATGTCTTGTACAAATTAGCAGGAGAATAAAACAGTAGGACAACAGCTACAGTCTACGCAGTGTTAATACTGAATATGAGGGAAAGAATTCGCATATCTAGGCAACGAAAGATATTTAGCCAATTCAACTGGCTGGATTTATATGTTGGTGTGATGTGATATTGTACAATAAATCATTCCCTGAGCAGCTGTTAACAACACTAAATAGATGAGTTAATTAGGAGAACTGGAACCTGTGATGTTTATGAATCATTAAAGTAAATAGGAATATGGTATGACTTGAAAAATAAATACATTCTGGTTGTGTGTGTGTTTGGTAATACTTTCCCCAGCTATGTATTTTTTGGGGGGGGTCCATGAAAGAAAACAGGATTTCTAGAGCTCTGGCGTATTTGTTTTCTCTTGCCCAAGTCTACAAATGATTACTTGATCAACAGGGATAGCTTTGTGAAGGTTCATAAACATATCTTGTTGGATGCTAAGGGTGAAGAGCATAAGAACAATGTGAGTTATATTTATCTCACATCTCTCACAACTGATGAGAAGCTACTGTATATTTCATACCACTATGCAAGTGTGGTATCTCACACAGCAGTTATAGATATGGGAGAATGAGCATATAATAGCCAATGGCGGGTTCTATATAATTTCAGGGGAAAAAAGTATATTTTATATAGAGAAACTGCCAGAAAGTAATATTTTAGTATCTAGAGGAATAGGATGGATAGAGAGATGATGTACCTCTTAATCCAAGACAAGAATAACTGTTTTTTGCAGGATGGAGAGGGGATAAGCTATATGTTTGACAATTTTATCTATGTACTGTGCCCAAAATACATCTCTATGGCAATCGGTCAAGGTTACACCATTTTTTACACTGTTACACTTTTAAAAATGCAGGCATCTGCGTTTAAAAAACAGAGAAAAGGTCAAATGGAAAAATGTAGTAAAAATGTAGTAAGGATCCTGTGTGATAGCCAGGGATCTGGGTTTTCCATTTCCCACAGGAAAATGGAGAAAAATGCAGATTTCCCCCTTTACCCAATAAAAAAGTGGATATCTCATTTTAATGGAGAAATGCATGGATTTTGCACTTCTTCGAAGAGCTGTCTGCAAGCTGGCAGAGTTCCAGTCTGCAAGGAGCTGGGGGGGAGCTGGAGGAGGGTGGCCAGGCAGGGGACACCTGGCCATCAGGCAGCCTGGAGAGCAGCTTCCACAGGTAAGTCTGGGAGGGAGGGGGGGCTGAGGCCCCAATTGTGTGGGGAGGGAGTTGGGCAGGACTGGGGCTGCTGCCCAGCTGGGTAGTGTGTGGGGAATGTGCAGCCTCAGGGTCCTGGCAGGGAGAGGGACAGGGCTGTGGGCGGCTTGTCTGGACGTGCAGAGGGGTTAGGCCAGCTCCCTGCAGCTGCACGCTCTCGCAGGGGAGGCAGAGGGGACCTGTGCCCCCCAGATCTGTGCATGGGTGTGAGCTGCCTGCTGCAGTCTGAGGCTCCCTGCCCTGCCACCCTCCCCTGGGCCTCTGCAGCCGTGGTTGGGATTTGGCACAGCAGAGCAGGACCAAGCGGGGAAGCTCCTTGCCGCTGCAAGCCCCACATCACCCTGGCGATGCACCCCCTGCCCCCCCTGACAACAGCGGGGGCAGTGGCGCAGGGTTGTGCCCCTCGATGCTCTGGGGTGGGCAGGGGGCTTCCCTGCCTGGCCCTGCTCTGTCCTGCCACACCAGATCCTGCCCTCTGGGCTGCACTAGCCCCAAAGGAGAGCAGCAGGGCAGGAAGCCCAAGCCTGCAGCAGGCAGCCTGCACCCACCCTGCACACAGATCTGGTGGGCACAGGTCCCCCTACTCCCCCAGGAGTGCATGCAGTGGTGGGGAATCAGCCCCCCCGCCCCACCTGAGCCTGCAGCAGGCAACATGCGCCTGCCCTCCTGCAGGCTCTGCTCTGGCTTGGGGGAGAGGGGTGGCAGGAAGAAGAAACTGGGGGGGAGGGGAGCAAAGGGGTTATCTGACCCCCGCCTC